CCCGTACATCTTACAGCGATTTATGACATTTGTGCTTCTCTTTCACAGCTTTGCTTGTAAACTGTAGTTTTAGCAAACTCTGGTACTCTGCACTTCGACCAAATATGCCACAACAACGCGAGAGGGATGCGCGTCTGCTAGGGGGCTTTTTCACTCTAACCTTGCATTGATCATAAGGTCTTGAGATGGAGCTCACAACGGCCAACGCATGGAAGATTTATGCTCTGGGTCCCAGTATGCTCAAACCCTACCTCCCTCGAATATTCGAGAGACTCAAAGTCCCGGTGGCCGATGGCATCTGGATCGAGACATACGTCGCAAAGACAGCTCTTTCTCAACGTCACAATTAATGCAACTGACGTCCTTTGTCAAGGACCAACTGAGTAGGAAGTTTGCGCAGAGCGTTGAGCGGTCGGGTTCCCTCTCGGGCTGGGACGGCGCCATGAAGGTCTGCGTAGATGCAGGCGTGTTCGAGACCATGTTCTCGCTTGTGCAGCATCCTCGCGGAGACTTGGAGACTGCTGTCGTCAGTGCGATAGACTGCTTGCATCACCTTGTTACAAAGGCCAGCCCTGCAGAACGACGCGATCTCCTTGGGCGCGCGGTAGGATGCGATGCCCTTGACATCTGCCTCCACGTAAGAGCGATTCTCTTGTCTAAATAACGTAGAGCAAAATTGACAAAGCTGTCTCATAGATTTTGCGCCACCACGAACTTTGTCTGCACAGGTACTCTGCAGGTCGTATGCTGCGAACGCTATGTGCAGATGTGGGATACGGCACCAAAATGAGCGCAGCGGTCACCGGCGCAACCATCGAGTCCCTTTGTCGTTACGTGTTGGACGAGACAGAGAGTTACTCTGTAGAGCTCAGAGATCCCGAAAAGGCATGGCAAGCTTATCGTATGACTGAACATGCAGCAGTACGCTTTCTCGCCACACACTTTACTCCTCGCGCTGACCCTTGTTCAAGCACACTCCCGAGATGGCTTCGAGATATGGCAAGAGGTGGTTTGGCCTGACACAGGAACTTTGTCTCTGGGCAGTGCACGGCCTCATATGCTGCGTGCCCGCCTTGACATGTCGACAGATTTTCGAGATTGTACAGTCTCGACCGGTGATGTTGGATCTCCTCCTGGACATCGCAATGGTGCCTCGACCCGCTTTCTATCCCGAAACTACTGCAGATCAGATAGGTTCGGCTTAAATCAGTACGAAATGTCTTCTGCGTGTTGACCTTGCTGTGATAGCGGCCGAAATTCTAGCAATAATACTTCAGCTGCCCCTGGGCTCAATACCCGGTTTAGAGATCCCTCTCCAGGACGCAATGAAGGCATCGTTTGATGATGAATGGCATGCGACCATCTCTGTGGCGGGTCTCCTACTGGAGAGACCGCAATGGCTGCCGAAGCTCCTCAAGATATGGAAGAGACTGGACAAGGAGCGATTCTCAGAATTGCAGGAGTAAGTGCATCGCCCGGAACAGACAACGCAGGGTGCTGAGTCTGTAAACAGCCTCCTCGATGGAGTGCACCCAGACTGGTATGGAATCAAGCCAAACACAGAGGCAATGGCTAACTTGTACGAGTATCGAGGTGACCAATCTGCTGCTGCTGATACCCCAACGTAATTGCATAACTGACATAGGACGCAGGGCACATGCGCATTGACATCTTGTCAATTCTTACCACACTAACGTTCACTCCTGACATTGATGACGTCGATCTCATATCCCTTCTGCGCATCGCCTACGAGTCTACCAAAAAGGCTACACCTATCTCAAGAGAAGCCGACTTAGTATTCAGCCCCAGGATGAAGGAAGAGGAGTTTTATGAAAAAATTGAGTGGTCGGCCAGCGTCTTCCGTATACCCTTGGCCCTCGCCGACATCGAAGAGCCCGGTGTGACCATCGACGCGCTCGGCCAGATCCCAGACGCAGCCATTTCCGCCCCGATAGCTCTCCTCCGGTTGCTGAATGTACTAGCACAACGCGGCATACTCGACAAGGCGCACACATGGCGGTCCCTGCCGGAGGGTACGGCGGATGGCACACATCTCGTGCATGTGCAGCAGATCCTGAGCGACATGGTAATTGGGAAGACGGTCTCGGTCATAGCGAAGCGGGTCAGGGCACAGAGGGAGAAGAACAAGAAACATGTCCGGGAGGCGCCATATACGGCGCGGAGCGAGTATCGTCAGACCGCACAGCTTGCGGCGGAACTAGTTGCTTTCGACGAGGCAACACAGGGCCGCTGGAACTCGGCAGTGGTTGACATACGCAAGGAGCTTGTCTTGTGCCTTGGGAATACCGCCGAGATGTCAAACCGGCTGCAAGACTACCAGGCAGCAATGGGCTTCGTACTTGCTGCGCAGGACGTGGCATCGCGGGCATCACGAAACGAGGGTATCACTGCTGATATCCTAGCAAAGAATGTGCGGCGGCTTGAGGTAGCAAGGGCCAACCTGAAATAACTATGGCAAGGTCACCTACGGTTCCGACTCTGTCCCTGCCTGGCATCAGGTCCTGCAGCGGCACTTCTCCGTATCTCCTCCTCATCCATTCCAGCCTCAGCCAAGATCTTCTCCACTTCTGTAAGGATCGGCTTGTACGATGCTGTACATACTCTGCTTAGCGTTAACCCGATATGCTGTACTAGAATGGGACTTACTGTATCTCTCCTGTGCGAGCGTGAAAGCATCACGACGGAGCATTTTGCCGCGGTTATCGCTCGATTGATGCGCCTTCTGTGCCCAATAATCGCGCGAACGGGCGTAGAACATTGCGAGGGTCTCGCCTGGCAGGGGTGTGCTGACTACATCCTCGGCTGAGCGGGTCTGGTCCTTGGAGACACCCATAAACGCCGTAGCTTGAGCTCGTAGATTATCCTAATATCTTCACAGTAAACAACTGTGCTACGAAGGATCGACAGAGAAAACTCACGGGATCTGGTTCCTCCTCGGATATGACCTTCAACATTTCCTTTCCATCCTCTTTATCGTTCTTAACTTCCTTGGCAGGCGAGTCAGCAGTCAATGTCGCTGAGAGACTTTCGTCGTCGTCGTCGCCATCGCCGTAATTACTCTCATCATCCGAGCTATCCTCGTCGTCGTCCCCGTCGCTGCTGCTGTCGTCGGCATTCGCAGGGATAATGACGTCGCTCGGCTTTAGACAAACGTAGCGATCGAGTTTGTCGAGCTGCAGTAAGTAGAAGTCGTCTAGTGTGTACTCGCGTGATCCGCGCTCGAATATGCCACCATAACTGTGACAACGCGCACAGTAAGAATCATCTCCAGATAAGGGCCGAGGACGACGGACGCACATGAACAGATTGTTACGCAGAACTGCTAACATAGCATTGTATCGTGGCAATGGGATAGTAAGGTTCGGGTCTTCCGGGCCCACTTCGTCGTTGACTGGGGTTTCGGTTACAGCGGTCGACGTGAGCGATGGTGGACGACTCTCCCGCTGTTGTTTGGCTTTCAGCCATGGTTTGTCCTCCTAGGAGCAGACATCAGGTTGAGCCAGGCTGACAGTCGTAAAGCTTGAGTTGAGCTGACCTCGTCAGAGTGATATTCGTCGGAGTCCTTTTCGTCGTCAGAGCCTGTCTTCTCCTTCTCTGATACAGATGTAGAAAGCTTGGGAGCTGCAGTAGCGGCTGGCGCCATCTTTTTCTTCGCACCGCCTTTTTGTTTGGGGCGTTTGAGGGTTATGGAGATCCAGCGGCCATTTTCGGCAATCTGGTAGCCGTACCTACGAGCTCGTCGATCAGCAGCGCATTTTCACCATCGAAGGAACACGGGTACAAGTCGTTGTGAAAGACGCTCTCCAATGTCTCCTCGTTCGTGTCCTCGTCCGTGACACCACCGAAAAGGACACCAGTATTCTTCGTTTGCCACAGCGCCATCGTACACCCAGAGCGAATTGATGGTGCGTAAGCTGTCGATGAACGCTTGCGCCGCTCCCATTTGAGGACTGGCATGTTGAACGAAGACGGCTTTCGGTCTGCGTCTGGCTCGGTTGGCACGCTCAGCCTACGAGATTACTTGCCATGAAGGTAAGCGCTAGTGGCAAGATCTGACTGACCTCAGAAACCAGGTATCTTCGAGCATGACACCGACAGGCCGCTTGCCCTTTTGATATTCTTTGCAGTACCCGCCATGCAATAGGGCGCCTTCAGGAGTGGACAAGAACGAGAACCCACTTCGCGGCCTGGATCTAATGATCAGCCACGCGATTGCTACGAATACGTTCGGGGGACGGACGAAGGCTTGGGTTCATTTTCTTTCAACTCAACCTGCTTCCACTTATACTCCTGTGTGTCAAATAGCCATAGATCGTTCAAGTAATTTGCTATGCCCACTGTCAGATTTGCGCGCAAGTAAGAACAAGCCAAGGACGAACTTCTGATACCAGGGTCATAGAATCCCCCGAAGAGCACGATGTAGTGCTTCCACATTGCCATTCTATTCGTGAGGGTCAATTACTTATTGCCACATATATGTTTATTTACAGGTGCATACCGATGCCCCGAGCGTGCTGAAGGAAGGACTTTGGTTTCGATTCTGTCCCAGGAGTGCGTTTGGATGTCGAAGCACCAGAAGTCGCGGTAGTGATGGAAGGTCGACTGGTTAAGGCTAGAGAACTCCCCACCTGAAAAACAAAACTGAATTGTCAGCACTTCAAGGCTTCGAGCACCAGGGTGGAGAGAGTATGAGTACCGAACAGGAACAGCTTTCCCCCTCCCGCGGGAGAAGCGACCACAGCATGGGCCGAACGAGGGCCAGGACAGGTAGGGGAGACAAACTTGCGCCATTCATCCTACAATCCAGATCCCCTCCACTTACTGGGTTATTCCGTAAGGTGCGAGGACACTCACCTTGTCAGGCGAATACCGAAAGACGTCATTATAGAAGTACTGTGGCGATATCTCGTCAGGAGAACGATCGATATGCGCATTGAGGAAAAAAAACGCACGGCTTTATTATCTTCGCTGAAGAACTCTCCGCCGATGCACCATAGATGATTTCCATTCGGACAGGGAATCAAGGTAGCATTTGCCCGCCGACTGGGTGGTCCCTCGACAAGCTCTTCGGTAACTTTGTGCTGGTCTTCCCAGTCTCTTCGCATCTACTACACATACAATGAACTAAGAGATACCTGCACAGCACAGCGGCGTGCACACCTTGTCTAGGATGGCCTCCAAGTCCTCGTCATCGTCCTCTATGTCAGGCTTGGACTTGCTCTGCTTCTTCTTCTCCTTGCGGTCTATCTTTTTATCTATCTTCGCCTTCTTCGCAGCCTTTGCGGAAGCCTTTGAGCCGGAGTTACCAGCTTTTTTCTTTGCCATTCTCGCCACTGGAGCAAAAGAGCGAAGGGGATAGTGGGCATCATTTCATAGGAATAACTCGATCAATATCTTGTAATCCGATCGGATCTGAGATCAGCCTACTTGTTGTATCGCAGCGACCATGTCAGTGAACATGTCCTCGGACAGCGTGCATCCTGTCAACCTCAGTTCGCCCTCCAACGACCACACGGCCTAGCTAAGCCCACGGGAGGCAATCGTCTATTTGGAGGCCCACCCCGAAGATGTCCGTCGCGGATCACATACCAGCACTGTCCACTTGGCAGGCGCACGCTCTCGCATTGCTCATCGGAGGCTCCTACGTCGGCTCGCTCTACGTCTCACAGAATGCGAGGCTGACGTACTCGTCGGACAATGCAGTAGAGCAGGCCAAGGAACGCGTTCGTCGGAGAGACGACCCCGACGTAATCCGGGCGCGCTGCATTGTGGTGTCAACAAGCACCCTCCTATCGTGTGTCGTCGTGTCGGGTCTCGTCTACGTGAAACTCGGCGGGTCATTGAAGGTGAGTGTCAAAGCGACGTATGTATGACCTTCATAATTGACAGCTGCTCTGCAGTCCGACGCTCTTCCCATCACGGCCGACTTGCTAGGTTTCCGACATCTCCGTTCCGTGTTGCTGCCCTGCCTGATCGCCCCGGTGCTCTATGCGGGCCCTTTATGTGTTTCCTATCTTTCGGAATCGTTGCTCCCATGGCAACAATACTGGGGCATTCTCAATAACTTGCCCACACAAACACAGGGAAGTGCAGTACTGCTAGCACTGCGTAACTATGTGGTCGTACGTTTCGCAATCCCTCATCCGACCACGTGCGATTGACGGCAGCATCCCAGGCCCCCATCACGGAAGAAGTAGCATTTAGGGCATGCATCCTCGCCGTGTACGGCATGGCGGGCTCTTCCAGGAACAGGATGATCTTTCTGAGTCCGCTCTGGTTCGGGATTGGTACGTCCAGCTTTCTTACGTCCTCGAAATACGCTCACTAGCTTATCGTACAGCTCATGTACATCATGGCTGGGAAGTGTACACGCGCATCGGACGTACAAGCTTCGCGGCGCAACAAGCAGCGTTCTCAGTCGGTAAGCGGGATTTACCCCGCAACGTCATCCGCGCCTGACCTCCTGGGTTTGCATTCAGTCTTTCAGACCGCTTATACTACGCTGTTCGGCTTTCACTGTGCGTTTCTCTTCCTACGCACGGGATCGCTTCTGCCGCCCATAGCGTCTCATGTCTTCTGTAACATCATGGGTCTGCCTGACTTAGGCGATGCCGTGGCACGTTTCCCTCATAGAAAACTTCGTAAGTGGACTTGTGGCTTGCTTTATTGGGCGCATCATTGACGGCTTCGTTACACGTTGCAGTAATCATTACTTCCCACCTGCTGGGTGTCGCTGGCTACATCTACACTCTAAAGGCGTGGACATGCGGCATTGGCAGCCTATATTGGCCTGCCTAGTAGACCTTCACTAGCTTTACTACTTCTCTACGTCGCGAAAAATAGAGGCAATGATAACTTTCGTATATCTACCCCACGTATATACTCGCGTACAATGCACTAAATTTAGTTTGCAAATCGTCGAGTGTGCCACGACCTCCGCGTCTTACTAGAGTAGACGCGCGAACGCCGCCTCTGCGCCGCACGCGTGATCGTGAAGATGCAGCGGCCCTTTCGTGCGTGTTACTTTGACTGCCATGATTCTCGACCAAGGTGAGGTGCGCCGGGAAGCTACCAGTTCTATACGAAACTTAAGAGAACGTTTCTCATACGTTGTAGACCCGTTCAGTGACAGTCCCCCGCAGTCACCGACCGAGACTGTCCTCCCTGAGTGAGGATTTCGTTTAGCATGGCTATTGACCTACAGCTCATGCTGCAGCAAATGGTAGCTATGGTGAGGCTGTTGCGCCTCCTCATCCGCGGGCGTCGTCTGGTTCGCGGCCACCCAGGCAAGTGATGTATGTCCCTCCAGTTTAACAACTAATTATCTTGGTTGTATCCACCAGCTACATGCCGCCACGCCGTCCATCCCGGCCCATGATCTACACGTTCATGTCATGGAACGCTAAGCTAATGCTGCTCATGCCGCCCGTGACCGTCGGCGATCGCACACCCGTCGCGAACATCGACGTTTCGCTTAACCTCAGCCCTTTCGCGCCGCTTTCATACATCACGACCGTGCGCCGCGGCGGGACGACCGAGGGCACCCTGATCGGTGAATTCGAGTGAGTAAGTTGTTCGTCGTTGCGGAGATTGCGCCGGGTGCCGCGGCTGACGGCGGATCTTCAGGCTGGCGGTAGCGCACAATCGCGCGACGGTGAAGATTGGCAACCACTGGGAGAGAGTCGCGAGTGTGTTGACCCAGCAGCGGAACACGGTACCGCAACTAGCCGTCTGGTAGGTGCTGTGCTGCGCGCTGACCTGTCGTTTCCCTTCACAGCGCCATTGGAAATGGCGGATGAGCGGCGTCGAGTTCTTCTGGGACTGCAGCAAGCGGCTGGACGACGGCTCGCCGATGTGCATTGTCAGTGCAGAATTTCCTTCTACCTCATCGCACTACACTGAGCCAAAATGCTATGGCAATAGTGCCTCGACGGCCGAAGCTCCCAGCTCGCGTCCTTCGTACCGCCCCCGATAGATGCTTCCCCGCCGCTTCCGGACGCGACACTGACAGTCTTTCCGGACGGGCATGAGTATTTCGACCATATCCTTTTATCGGCCTTGATAGTTGAGCGAAAACTGACACTGTCATTCTGACACAGACTACATGTAGAATACACCCATGACAACTTCCACCAAATTTCCTGTCTGCACAGCCTCTGATGACGTACTGCGCTTGCCCCTCAGCGCTGTACGCAGTAATGAGAGTCCGTCAACTGGAGGTTGTCCGTGGTGCCTAACTTACGGCAGCTCGTGTGATGCACAGATGGTCGCGTGCTTGCTGGTGCCACTTCTGAATGGGTTGTTTCATGGTCCTGAACGTAAGGATGAGAGGGCGTGACCTTTTCGAGTGGGTCCCATCGCGTTACAAGTTTTGGTTTTTGACAAAATACTGTTCTGTGCTCACGCGAGCTAGCATGTGCACAGAAAGGGACGTCATACTTGTCGCAAAACCGCTGCGATCTGAGTCGTGCTTGTGGAGACGTACGTAGGCTGCACACTTAGCCTGTGCAACTCCTGCGCCTCTGAAGCTGGCGGCATGAAATCTCAGTCTCGCGACGTAAATACCATGGACGATCACGACGTCATGTTACATACGAAGCACCGACGCCAGAACGTTGGAAGATGCTCTGTGAATGCTCGGGGAGACTGTGAGTACCGAGGAGCGAGCCAGCTGCTTTGTGGGGAGTTGACGTACGATGGTTTAGCCCCAACTCCCGAAACGGTTGTAAGGACGGCTCGATGAAGCAAGCAGGATATCATGCATGCCTCGGCGCCGGGACTAGCGCCGCATGACAGTGTACTGCTGCTGGAGCAGCCAGAGGCCGCGCCCGCTGGCAGTGGTCGAGCCCCGGATGCGCCACAGGCGGATGCTGTGGTGCCTGTCGTAGGCAACTGTAACTGCGCACTCAGAGTGATCCACCGATATGTGCTGCTCTAGACTCAGCAATCGGGGCGGATGAACACTGCTAGACAGTTTTCGGCGGCTGCGGGTCATCTAGGGGGTGGGAGAAGGTTCATATCAGGCAGAGCGAATGAATGCTATGCTGGTCCGCTGGGAATACACGTTCTGCCCCGAGTGCGGGTCAAAAGCATGAGAAACGGAAACAAAAGACAGTAGCAAAAAGGCAAGGTGCAGATGGGGGGCTACACTGTCAGCTGGTAGCATCGGGTCGTTACTGTACTGCGCCGTGATCCTGGCATGAGCAGTGCACCGAGAGGAGAGAGGACAGAGCTGGTAGCGGTCCTACGAGGGAGACGACTACCGTCAAATGACGACGGCAAGTTCCGCACTTCCCGAAATGGAGCCCCAGCCACGTTTATCTTGAGCGCGGTGGACGGGGCTCGAGGCGAGCACTCGAGCAGCGACACGCCACGGAGCGTGTGCCCATCTGCGCTTCTTCATATCCTCCAGCCCCTCATATACCTGCAATCGCACAGCCCTTCCGTTTAATTCATAGACCACATATCCCACATTGTCGATCCCACCCTGACCTGCCATCTGTCTCTTGTACCTCCGCCAGGCATATATATACCTCACCTAATCTTCCCTTTGTTGCCGCCTACACATCCTTAGATCTTACTTCCCTCTCTCACCTCGCAAACCGTCCTCGCCATGACAGAGTACGACTGGTCACCCGAAGCCTGGGAGCGACACCTCGAGAATCAACAACGGGTGTCGAACTGGGTCACTGACCAGAGTGCTCGCCTGCCCAAACAGCAACGTGCAAGTTCTGTGGCACCCTCGTACCCCACGCAATCCTCCCACCAATCCTCATCTCGCCACAACAGGCGATCATCGTCCACGAGCCCAACATCCTCGACGCCTACCAAAGCGCGCCCCGCTCGGCCTGAACATAAGCGATCGTACACGGAGCCGGTACACGAGGCATACCGGTCGTCTCGCCCCTCGCGCTCGCGCCAGATATCTCCGCAGCCGGTCTACCAGTCTAAGGCGTCGCCGACGGCGTACGCCTCGCAGACGTATATCCCTCACACCACGCCGTATGTCGTCTCGCATGACAAGCACGGCGGGGGCTACCGCTACCAGACATATAGCTACGATGCCACATCCGGGCACCTTGTTCTCCCTCCGCCGCGATCGGGTGAACAGTATATCATCATGCCTTCGGCAGATAGAAAACTTGTAGTTGTGGTGAGTCCTCTTCTCAGCTGACTTTTCTCTCAACAAGCCTGACAGAAAGCAAATCCAGAACAATGATCCATACACTGTCGTACATCAAGACTCACGCAGCAGTAGCCACTCATCATCATCCAAGAATCAGCCGCTGCTGAAGCGTCTCTTCACAAGCCTGAGCCCCTCGAGGTCCAGCGGCAGCAGCACGAAGCTGACCAGGCACACCAGCCGGGATCGCCGCGCGTATTGAACCTGGACCACGCTGCTTGGTCCTCCACCAAAACTCTGCGCGGCACACCGTGCCCTTCTCAGGGTACTGCGCCGCCGCTCGGACGAGGCGCGCCCCGGCCGCGCTCGTCTTCCCCAATGCATAAGCTACACCCACGTTCCTTCAAATCGGCGCACATACGGCGCCGTCCAGCCGCTCCCTGAGCGACCCGCGCGCCGCGCGCCACGCCACACCCCTTCCGCACGTTCTGCACGTTTTCCCATGTCTACCCATGTTCCGGATGACGCGCCGATGCTATCGCAGACGCCTCCGTTTTATTCTGACGCCGTAAACGCGCTTGCCGGACCAGGCGCCCACGACCCTTTTCTTACGTCTTCTGCTTCTCTCATACACTCGCATACACACAGCACATACTACTCCCATTGGTCATATCTCTCGGGAACATTCAGGGTGGCGCTCGGATCTGGCGCACAGATTTGGTGTAGAAACATACATGGCTTGCTTTTCTTTACGTTACATGTTACGACCGACAGGAATACCCATAGCAATAGATATACCTTTACCCCACGCGCATCGGCTGTCCGAGCTGCTGACACTCTCCGAAGGTCATTTGCTCTCGGAGTCGTCACAGTACGGGTCCTGGCGGCCCGGGTAGCAGTAGTCGTCGCTGACGCAGTACTGCAGGGTGTGAAAAGATCAGCGGGACCACATGGCGAGAGGAGGGAGCTGGGCACTCACGTCCTGGCCGATGATGAGGTCGTCGCACGTGTCGTCAACGTCGTCGTTGAGCTGCACGAACTGGGCGACAGTGAGTTCCCACTGTGCAGCAAGGTCGTTGCATGTCGCCTCGGTCGCGGGCTCCCAGAGCGTGCACGTCGGGGTGTACGCTACGGAGAATAATTGGTACAGCGGTAGTCCGGGCGGTCAGTGCGGGTTCGGTAGGTCAGATGTAAGGTGACCGGAGAATGTTCAGTCAATTATCGGAGCGCTTATGTAGAAAAGAATAGACACGTACAACGTAGACACACTTCCTGGACATCCATGGGCGGGCCGCCTGTGGAAAGTGTGAAGTTAGGCGAATGTCACGACAGGCTACTAGACGGCAACAACTAACAATCGTGCAGGTCAGGATTCAACGCCATAAGTTCCTCCGTCGTAAGGCCGCTCCACGATTCAATAGTCGCGCATGAGTCCGTGGACCTATTTGCAGTGAGCCATCATTTTTTCCTAAGGAAGGCGTCGGTCTTACTTCGCATTGTAGATCTCTGAAATGGAGGATTAGCGTTTGTTCCTTGCTCACAGCTAGGGTAGGTGAACGCACCAACACACTCGGACCTGGGACCAGACGCCACTATGAGCGCGATGCCCCAAGCGGCGGTAAGAACGGCGGCGGCAGAGATAGCAAAGGTGCGCATCTTCCTTGCAAACGTCTGGGGCTTGTCCTCGGCTTCGTGACGACCAAGTACTGACGAGCTTGCAGAGGAGCCATAGAGTGTCTTTATACTTCTGCGACACAGCTCGGGACGCCCTCAACAATGCTAGGATAATCATGATTAGAGCTTCAGCTTCAAACTGCATTCCCCTCGAAGTTCGGCCGGACTATCAGCGTGGGGCCTCCAAGAAGAGCAAGGCGTTCTATAAGCTCGCCCTAATCTACTCTTTGCACCCCAGCAGAGACGTGCGCTTGGCGGGTAAGGCTTGGGCATGTGCTCTCAAGCTTTCTGAGCGGTGATGAGATGGATGCGCGCAAGTGTGTTACTCGTAGCATTGCTTGTTCATGCCAGTGCCGCGCCTCTCGCGCGCAAGTTGCAGGCCAAGGAAAGGCGAGTGAATAGACGTGTGTCAGCGCGTGTCATGCAGCTTATGCGAGAATTTTCCCAATAGATTCCAGCGCGTTTCGAGCCATGAATGGGGGAGTGTTTGATTTTCGAGCACAGGATATTTTTCGTCACAAGGTTCAGCGTATTGGCGTATCACGTTTGAGCCGCGGACCTGATGTCAGAGGATATTAAGAGGATGCAGGGTAGATAATGTCATATCAGAGTATGCGACGAGACAGTGTACGCGCGACAGCTCTTGTGCTGGCGGCCTGCGTCCGCACGCGAGCCGCCTCCGTGGTGGCAGACGAACGACCTCGATTGCCTATTCTGGGCACAAATGAGACATCTCGGTGATCGCCGCGCACGCCACGTGAGCCTTACCAGATCCCGCTCATCGGAGACTGTCCAGGACTTGCCCGTAAAACTTCCCAAGATTCAGAGAAGGCATGCCTCACAAGCGGGCAAAACGCTCTGTACGTGAGAAGCAGCGCTCTGCAAAGTCAGTGGCCCGCCAGCCCGTCGCTGACGCCGCCCTTGTCTTATCCCCTTCGTTTTTGGATACAGAGGGACGGACAACGAGCCCGGCTCGCAGTCGAAGGGTGCGCTGAACAGTGAAGCGGTGCCGAAGAGTGCCGCGCGTGTGCTCAACGCGGCGAAGATCCAGGAGGAGTGGCGCAGGAAGCGCAAGACGGAGGGCGACGACAGGAGGCCGAGGAAGAGGCAGCGTACGGAGGCGGAGGCGGAGGGGAAGGGGGAAGGGAAGGTTGCAATGAAGATCATGCCGGGCGAGTCCCTTGCGCACTTCAATAGGTGCGTGGCTATCTTTTCCTGTGTATCATTTTACTGATACAGACGGTCACGAAGACGAGTTGAAGAGTCCATGCGCCCCCTTGTACGAGAAGCTGTTCAGATATCTGCGGCAGCGGCACGTAAAGTTAAGAAAGAAGAAGAGATGGCCAAAGAGACACAAAAGGCGGGCAGAAATGCCAAACCGAGTCGCTCGGTGTCTCCCACTCCTCAGAGCAAGAAGAAGGTCGGCAAGGTCGCGGTGATAGACGAGGACGACGACAATGACGCCCCCGCATCCAGGTCCGCGAACCCCACGCAAACTGGCGAAGCGAACGAAAAGGACAGGCCGAAGGATTTTGTGGCCTTCTCGGCGAGTGCGCCGCGGCGGCTGAACGACATTGCGAAGGCTCCGCCGGAGCTGAAGAGGCTGCCGCGCGGGGCAAAGGCAAGCAAGGCCGCGGACACCGGTGTCAAGGGTTCGACGAGCTTGCGCGAAGGAGCTATGTCGATGGCTCAGAAGGCCATGCTGGAAGAGGAGCGTGAGCGAGTGATCAAGGCCTATCGTCAACTCAAGAAGGGCGCTGTGGGCGCGTGAAAGCTGTTTCCTTGCACTACAGCAAGCGACGTGAGTCACTTCATGCATAAAACTAGGAACATGTTATTGAAGTATGATGCCAGTGATGAGTAGACGATATCCACTTTTGTGCGGCCGGCGCTCGTCCATCAATGTGCGACCGCACTGTGTACGAGGCACGCTCAGGAGCCGGAGAGTATAATTTTTTTAAAATTGGATTGGAGACACTACCTAGTACAGATCGATGATACAGGCCGCCAACATAACTTAGCTCTATGCAGCACTGTTCCAAAAAAACAAGAAATGCAAGTATGAGGGCGCTCCACTACGACGGCGGCAATGGCGTTGTGCGCAGGTATGGCTACAAACGAACTTTAGAGTGCTACAGTCGAATATGGTAGGGGGCTACGCACAATTAAAGTCTTATATTCCGGAAAGAGTTTCCTAGCTTCTTCATCCGAGACATGCGGTTGTATAATGACGTCGTCGCCTTTCTGCCAGTTAGCAGGCGTACCGATCGGGTACTTGTCAGCGGTCTGGAGAGCTGGATCAAGCGAAGCAAGTAGTAAAATGGGGTCTCGGAGGTCTGCACGGCTCCGGCTTACCGTCAAACACCCTAGAACGCGATAGTGAGCGCAATCCAGACTCGAGTCAAAGCACACGACGCACCTGATGATCTCGTCAAAGTCGCGGCCAACAGACGCAGGGTAGATGACCATCGCACGGATGGTCTTCTTCGGGTCGATGAAAAAGACGGTGCGAATCTGTGCAGAGGAATGAAGGAGAAGAGGCCAGGCGTGAGACCGTGTCCGAGCTTACAATATTCATCTGTCCATCCTCACTGACGTTTGTCATTTCCTCCCCGTCAAACATCTCATACATCTCTGCAATCTTCCTGCCCGGATCTGCAATCTAAGGCGGTGTTAGGGAAAGTGAGGTGGCCAGGGATAGGGGCGCACAATGGGGTACTCGACGCATGTCGGGGCAGTCTTGTTCCCTATTTCGATGATGTCTTCAATCCATTCGTAGTGCTCCTGGAGCGCGTCAGCTGAGATGCCAATAACCTTGATGCCACGCTCTAGGAACTGTGGTGCCCTGCGCAAGGGGTAGGCTTGTCAGGACAGGAGGGACAACGCCCCAGGAGCGACCAAACGCACCGGTGTGAGATGTCAGCGAGCTCCGTCGTACAGACGGGCGTGAAGTCGCCGGGATGCGAGAAGAACATGACCTGCCATCGCGGGAGGACTCAGAAACTGTCTGCGCATCCTCCGCCGCCATGGACGTACCCAAGAGTCGCCGATCCATTCGTGAAACCTGATTTGCCCTTCAGTGGTGTCTGCCTCGAAATCCGGGGCGATGCTTCCAAGTCGGAGCTTTGAGGACTCCATGGCGGTTGCCAGCGCAGCGGAGCGTTCACAGCGGTAGGTGAGTGTAGAAAGAAGAGTGCGAGAGACACGCTCGGGCTCGGAATTGGAGCCATATGTGTTCGCGGTCTCCTATAAAGCAATTATATTTTCACGCACGGGATCGTGCTTGACCAAATTAGGCGACCAAAATTCATGCTTTCGCCTCGCACAAACTACGCGCGAGAGTTAGACCTGCCGTGCTCCCGACCACGATAAGAGGGATTTCCGTCTGTCGTAGGCGGGCGGTTCGAATGCTGCCCTCATCTATCGTGCACATGCCCAGTCGATGTGAATGTGAAACCACCGCTGATAATCAGAAATATTTCTACACAATGCCGTGAACCACCGTGATTGCCTGCATCTTCAGGATGGTCTATATTGCGCGTGATATGCCAAGTAGACTAGCAGCACCACTCACGGGATTCTCGAGAGGCACGCAGTAACGTTAACCTGCTTGATAGCCAGGATCTGTCTTCCTCTGGCTAGCATGTATCCCAGAGCTGCTGCCGTAGATGACGTCGCTAGTCTTTCTCGATAAGATAAGAACCCCTGAATCGCGACGGATTAGCGGACTTGGGATACTCTTATGCCCACTAACAGCAATCGCCGTCGCCACACACGAGGAAATTACGACACGCTTTACGAATTCTGTAGTCTGAGAACGATATCGATGATCCACAGCTGCACCGTCCGTCGAAAACAGCCTGGATCGCATGCACGTCATTCGTATGCATAGCTGGTGTCGCCCCGGTAACCACGTACCAGAACTATCACTTTGTAAATTATGAGCACACAACTTACGCAAGTCACATACCTATCCAAATGTCTGGTGAAGTCCATGGCGTGCGCCCTGAAGACAGTTTGGAGGTTCTGCCAGTAGCTGGCCCCGCGACTCAGACGAGGATTCAACGATAATTCCCGATCTGCTCTTGGCGAGTAAGCCTGATTATATTACTGAGTGTCGCCACCAGTCCTTTGCATAAGTCTGAATTAGGGAGTGAGGCGACGACGAACGAGAAACAGTCTTTGCACACGACACTGAACCAATACGCCGCCCGCACCGAACGATACGTCCGCATTTGGACGCGGTTGAATTCACCGCCGATCGCGACGCGTCGATCTTTTCCCTCAAGTCTATCAAAGACTGGGGAGGCTGGTTTCGTATTGATTTCGGCCGTGTCATTGTATATGAAGTGTCAGGACTAGGACGGCTTGATTTTCAATCCCCTCATCTCTTCTGCTTCGCACACCGTCTTCGCCCCGCACGACGGGGAACGGCCAACCCGACCGTGTTGCAGGGCGCGTGAGGCGACGACACAAGATCTCGGTATTCGTTTAGCTCAGGACACGAGCGTTCACCTGGCTGTATGCGCCGACCACCGGGCTTCCTGGTGGGTTTTGCTCCACGGATGCCGCCCGCTTTGGACTTCGTTGACATCTGGAAGACGCCTGCTACTTGTCCCATGGACATCTCCACGTCGAATGTCTCAGAATCGGAGCTTAGGACGGAGCAGGAGAGGAGCACCACACTGGGTAGACGCTTGGGAAGGCGGACGGTGAACCAGTGGAGTACGAAGACAACGCCATTGGCCCTGAAAATCGGCCCTACGCTTCAGAATACGGAGGTAAGTTACATCTCAAATTGAGAGGACAGCATACCCTTGGGACATAGGGTGCCGTTTTGTACCACACTGACGAGTCTTCCTTCGAGGTCTTCTCCATCCGAGCCGGTCGGACGACACCCGACATGCAAAATGTCCGCGTTGATGAAGCACAGCCATCATAAGGGCGAAACTGCGTTTACGTACGAACGTTAACTAGTTGACTCCGGGCTTGCATGGACCTGCCGGAAGATTTCGTATTCAGCGATGCTGTCAAATGAGCGTGAGTGAGCTAGCCACACATTGAGTACTGCAGACGGAGGGGACACACCGGGAGGCCTGAGGACTTGTAAGTTCTCGCGGCGCCTAACAAGTGGAAAAAGCTGTCATCATCATTTGAGTCTCAATTAGACCCCGCTCATGCAACGTTACTAGGTCTGATGAAGCTACTCAGAATACAGACATCGGACGATAATGGCCGTCGACCGGTGATTATGCAGCAACATCTGGAGACACAAGATGAACCAAGTTGATGTCAAGTTTTGTATCGCCTCAGTGTGAACTCTAACAGACGCTACGGGCCGGCCCCCACGAAGCCGAGTCGCCAAACTTTGGAGTTTTATCCACGGAAGTACTGCAGACTTATGGAGCGGCCAGGGCTGGGAAAATGGAAGAGCATGCGACCGATTCTTCTCGTCTCGCCCTGCCTGGCTGGAAAGCCTTCTCCTCGAATGATCAGCAGACTCCCGCTTTCGTAACTGTGAAAGTCGTGGTCCGTCCGTGCACTGCGCATGGGAGCTACCAGTCCAAGGTAGGTAGTCATGAAGGGATTGTGCGCAACGATGCGGCGGACATTGATCATGAAAGATCGGGGGACCTTTCGAAGACGCAGCGTGAAGCAGTAGACACCAGCACGACGGTTAACGTGTCGTTGACGACGCGCTCTGCTGAGGGCATAGGTTTGAGAAGCCTGCCGAAACCTTCGTAACCTTTTACCGGTTGCTCAAGAGGTTTAGCGTCTGCCGATGCCTCTGGCTGCGGCAGAAGACACTTAGATTCCGGAATGTCGAGTCAGAACTCTGTTACATTGAACACTGTAATAGGCTCTCACAGGCAGTTGTGTACACCCAGTATCAGAAGAGCAGGGCAGCCGGGAGGTGCTGTAGCTCAAGGTGCATAAAGCAGTCACGAGACAGAGGGATTCTCCGGACAAAGCGACCGTGGGGCTTCTGCCTAGGGTCTTGGTGCCAAAGCTCCATAACGAGCACACTGCGAGAGCCTATGAGTGAATGACGACTGGTAAGAGAGGTGTTGGCAGCATGCTGGGGGAGAGTAAGTGAGTTGTCGGATTGGTCAAGAGTAAGGTTTCCCGCGTGGCATGGTCCGGTCGGCGTGGCATAATAAATGCCAAATAATGACCGCCACGCCGCCGCGTTCACGACGTGTCATCACGGACAGTGACCGAGCTGCGGCCACCTCCAGAGCTGGCATTCTCATTGCCAAAGTGCCAGCATGTATAGCCGACGACGACACCACAGTCGGTCTCTGAATCCGTCGGAGCGCACTAGGCGGCTCCAACTGAAAGACAGTGAGTTTCGAGAGGGAGCCAGAGCGCACTCACGGCGTCCTGTGCCTCGCCTTGGACACGTTGCCCCTGCCGCAAATGAAGATTATCAGACCTTGACCCCCAGTCACGTCTATCGCTGTGATGTATTTCCAGTCTTCTGTTCCCTCAGATTGATGACCTCAGCAAACGGTGCCATAGGTTTCCCCTGGTTGTCTCCGTCCCATTAAGGACCGCCACCCTGATTCTGCTATATAGCTCTCGGCCTGAGCTTCTCTGTCCTCTTCTGCTTGGACGTCGCTCTTGCTCACTCAAAGCTCACACGCGCCGCACGCTTTGAAGTCGACCCCGCCCAGCAGTCACCATCCATCATCATGACAGAGTACACCACCTCTTCCGAAGCCATCCGCGAGTATCTCACGGCGCGTGAGCGGACTGCGCGGTGGGTGAAGCGGCACTATGGTTACGAGCATGACGTTCTGTCACCCTCTGTTCCGCCTTCGATTATCAGCGACTCAGATGCTCCGAGCTACGGGCCCAGCGACTCGGAGGAGAGTAGCAATTCGCTCCCTCCGCGCATGATCCTGCGTTGGAACGACGGAAGACCAGATATCCCCATCTCCCGCAGCTCTAACTACGCCCGCTCGAGGTCGCAGTCGCACCCGCACCCGTACTCGCGACGAGACGAGTCGCCGGACTCACCCCAACGTTTGCCGCGTCATAGCAATTTTCACCCAAGCGCGGGTTCACACCATCCACCTGCAGCGCTCGCACCGTCAGCGCACTCACGGCATGCACAAACACTCGCGTCGGCCCCCTTCCAGGGCCCGACTGTCGAGTCTGACGATACCCCGCCTCCTTCCCCCGAGCACATTGTTATTCTACCCTCTCCTCAGGACGAGGATCCACCACAAGTGCTGGGGGCCGTGCCTTCCCACGGTTCACAGTCTCACCATGGGCCTCAACACTCGTTGCGAGCCCACTCTGTACACCACCCACAGCCCACAGCGGCCAACGGGGCGTACCCACCGCCGCCATCACATCACCCTACTATACACGCGCCGAGTCCGCGTCGCGCTTACAACCCCTCGGACCACTCACACGTATCCCGGCATGCTACACATTCGCCGGCGATGCAACACTCGCAGTCACAACCACTGCCCGTCGCCCACGGCGGCACCTACCCGTCGCGTTCGGGCACCGCACAGCCATACAGCCCACCGCAGATCGTCTACGCGCCGTCCTCGAAACACGGCGGCCCACAGTACGCGCCGCCACAGATCGTGTACGCGCCGGCGGCACACACACAGGCGCCCCACACGCGCGGCGCGCCCTCGATAACGTACAGCCAGAGCGCGCCGCTCCCACAGGCGTACCAGCACTCGCGCCACGGCAGGACCACCGCGCCGCCGGGTCCCCACGTCGTCGTCGAGACCAGCCGGAGCCGGTCGCGCGGCCCCCACAGCCATGCCCTGGGCGACCACGGCAGGGGCAGGAGCACCAACACGAGCCACCACCACCGCCGGGACGAGAGCCGCCGCGGACGGTCGCCCACGCGTTCGGAGAGCGACACATCGGGGAGCACGTACTACGTCCTGCCCACCGCGGGCCAGAAGGTGCAGATCATCGTGAGTAGTACCTGTTCTATCAATCGCTGTAGGAGTTGGTGCTGACTGTGAGCTGGGCGTCCCCAGCCCCCCAGCGGAGCCCCGTCACTCCGGACCGCGACATCGGCGACGAAGGCGTCGCAGCACTCGCCCCACTCGCCGCACGACGCCAAGAGGCCGTTCTTCCAACGCATCTTCCACATCCCGAAGCTCGCGTCGTCTTCGGCGGGTTCGACGGGTTCTGGCAACCGGAAGCTGCACAGGCGGCATACCCTTCAAGTTGGGGCACATGCACTCGGCGAACATGGCGACCGTTAGCCGTTTCGCAAAATCCCCGCAAGTTCTACTAGTCAGATGGCTGCGTCAGCTGCCCTGCCCGAGTCTGATTGCTCCTTGTGGGTTAAGCTTAATTCCTGGTAAAATCCGGTTTTTTATCTTCTGGGACGTTAGAATGGTCGAGCCTTAGTTTCATCAATCCACATTCTTTTCGACTCGTACGTACGAATGACGTAAAATGACTTAGAGATTGGCTTCTTCCCAACGCACACGCCCCTTCCCTTTCTTCCTCCCTTGTCCCCTCTAGCCTCCTTGCTGTGTATCGCCGTAGCCCTGTATCACCCACCGCAATCATGTACCAGCGTAATGACAACAGACGTTATCACAACTCTGCCTCCCTTTGTCCCTGCGACGATCCCAGATAATTCTGCAAAATGAGTTGAGAGATCAGCCACGAGGATCTCATGAAACGTGCACGTATGATATATGAACGCACGTCTAGAGCCAAGATGAGCTTGCGGTGCACATGCTATCACCCGGCAAAGAGCTGCCTTACGACTTCGCAATGTTGCCGGTGCGCGATTACCGTGGAAAAGGCCAATCGCTGTCTCCGGCGTCGTCTGGAAGCCGTCGGGCGACACGGCATGCGGGTTCGCAGAGGGGCTGGCAACAATATTGGGGCTGCGCAAGGAAGTGGGGACGAGTATCTGCACACAGGATATCGGCCGCTATGGGCGATAACGTCCGAGCATGTGCGAGCGATCGAGCGGGCACAGTTGAGATTGAGAGCCTTTGGAAGGCGTGCCAGGGGTATTGTCCGGATTGTGGTGCTTGCTATCTCTTTCAGTGTGCGTAGTGTGGGAGGCACTGAACGGAAAAGTCGTTCGCACGACATAAAGTCTATTGCCATGCCGATGAGTGCCCTTGCCTGCGTGGCATCGAAAGAGTACATGAACAGGTGCATGAGAGAGAGATGGCCTGTGACACTCACCAGACCGCTACTCATCCCAATGCATAGCTGAAAGGATCCAATAGGCAGGGCTGCCTGATTCGTCTTGCTCGTCGAGCCAGCAGAGGCCGTCCCGAAGGAGCATGTTCTCCAGCGCAGCCCGCGCTCGCTCGACAGCCCATCCTCTACGGGCTATCAGCAACTCCTCTGACACCCGTCCACCTTCATCTTGAGCGATAGCCAGCACGACTGCCTGATCTCCGTCCAGCTCCTTCACCACGCTCCTGACCATCTTTCTCCCTCTACCGACATCTATGACCTCGTAGCCTGCCCCCAACGGCTTGAGCGTCTTGATGCTCCGTATGACGTCCTCCTCTGTGATCGTGCCTTCTTCGACCGCGCGCAGCCTACCCACGAGGCGGACGAGCTCGCCCATCTCGATGAGCCCGCCGTTGCGCTCGCGCGTGCTGACGCAGACGTCGACGATCTGGACGCCGAGCTCGTACTGCCAGTCGCCGAGGTTGAGCACCTCGGCCCACCAGCCGCCCTTGCGTGGGCCCGCGAGCGGGTCGACGCCGATGGAGGCGCACATGCGCTGGAAGGCGTGCCGGAACGCGGGGTCCTTGCGTATCTTGTCGCGGTGCGTCGTTGCGAATCGCACCAGGGCCGAGCGGAAGTGGTCCATCTGGGCGTGGAGATGCTCCACTTGCGCTTTCGAGAGCTCGTTGGAGAGTTCGGCGAACGAGCGTTGCGACTGCTGCTGCCGCTCGAACGCGGCAAGGCCGACGCCTCCTAGTCGGTGCATGATCGATGTCGACGGGGTCTTCGAATGTCGATGTGAGGTGAGAATGTGAGACTAGGCTCCACCGATGCTGTTCAAATTTCTGGTTGTAGAGGAGACTGGCGGGTTTGAAGGCGAGGTTGGTAGAGTCGGTACTATCGAGAACCAAGTCGATAATATCTGCGCAATGATTTGTCCCGCATGTACGGGCCGGTGTCGGACCGCGTGATGGACTGCTTAAATGACAAAGCCGCAGGTTTCTACTCTGCGCTCCCGAGATGTAAAGGCCCTTGGCCCCTTACAACAGACTCGAAAATGCCTCGAAAATGCATCGAAATGCAAGCCACCCCAGACCTCGAGATGGATGGCCAGAAGCGCGCCGTATGGTGCCCGACGCCTCCCGACATGAAGCTTGATATGACGTCACGCGACGTAAGTCTCTGGTACAACCCTGGCTCAAAATCGAGGGGCAAGGCAGGGTACTATACAAGACTATGGAAACTAGTGCTTCTGCACTACCATTCTATACAGCAACACTGAATGATCATGGCGGAATTCGCGACAACTGTCGCCTACTCGACCGACTCGGCGGGCGTGCACCCGTCACATACCCTCCCATCAGGAACAAATAACCATTCTACCCGATGCTACCTGAGCTTGGTAGTGCTCCGAAGCATCGGGTAGCATTGGTAGAATGGTCAGTGTTTCCTGATGCCCCATCAAGCTACGCGCCATCTACGACGCTGGTTTTACGCAAGTCGAAGTTGGTTTTCCGGATCTTGAGACATATGCTCATCAAGAATTCAACGGAGATTATAATAAGCTGGATGAAGGGGGCAAGGGCGACCTCGACAAGCTGTGCGAGGCTGCAAAGAAAGTGAGGGGCTTGTGCCACGAG